CTCTATACTCCGCCCTGTACACTCTGCTGTATACTCTATACTCCGCCCTGTACACCCTGGCTGTTATACTCTCTACTCCGCCCTGTACACCCTGCTGTATACTGTATACTCCGCCCTGTACACTCTGCTGTATACTGGTATACTCCGCCCTGTACACCCTGCTGTATACTCTATACTCCGCCCTGTACACCCTGCTGTATACTCTATACTCCGCCCTGTACACCCTGCTGTATACTCTATACTCCGCCCTGTACAACCCTGCTGTATACTCTATACTCCGCCCTGTAACCCTGCTGTATACTCTATACTCCGCCCTGTACACCCTGCTGTATACTCTATACTCCGCCCTGTACACAGAGCTGTATACTCTATACTCCCGCCCTGTAACTCCCTGCTGTATACTCTATACTCCGCCCTGTCTGCTGATTTCCTGCTGTAGACCGGCTGTATACTCTATACCCGCCCTGTAAACCCTGCTGGGTATACAGAGACTCCGACCTGTACACCCTGCTGTATACTCTATATACTCCGCCCTGTACACCCTGTATGGAGGAAAATGTCTTGTTGGGGTCAGTAGATCAGAGGAGAATACTCTATAACTCCGTTCTGTACACCCTGCTGTATACTCTAATAACTCCACCCTGTATGCAGACACCCCCTGCTGTTATACTCAATACTACCGCCAAACTGTAGCACCCTGCTATACTGCTAGAAGACCCGCCCTGTACTCCCCTGCTGTATGACTCTATACTCCGCCCTGTACACCAAAATGCTGTATAATATAATACTCCGCCCTGTACACCCTGCTGTATAGTCTATACTCAGCCCTGTACACCCTGCTGTATGGTGGGGTCATACTCCGCCCTGTACACCAATGTGAATACTCTATACTCCGCCCTGTACACCCTGCTGTATCACTGGTGGTGTGTGTGTCATGCCCTGTGGGGGATACACTCTGCTGTATACTGGTTCAGGCTGCCCTGTGGTACACCCTGGCTGTATTCTCATCCTGCCTTGTATCAGTGGTTCAGGCTGGTGATGGTGGGTGTGTCATGGTGTGGGTATACTATACTCCGCCCTGTACATCCTGCTTGTATCACTGGTTCAGGCTCCGCCCTGTACATGGTGTGGTATACCATCCTGCCTTGTACACCAGGCTGCTGGTGGTGGTGTCATGGTGTGGGGGATCCATCCTGCCTTGTATCACCAGTTCAGGCTGGTGGTATGTCATGGATCCATCCTGCCTGTATCACTGGTTCAAGCTGGTGTGGTGGTGTTATGGATCCATCCTTGTTCATATCAACAGTTCAGGCTGGTGGTGCTGTGGTGTCATGGTGTGGGTGGATCCATCCCTGCCCTGTATCAACGCCCTTCAGGCTGTGGTGGTGGTGTCATGGTGTGGGAGACCATCCTGCCTTGTATTACTGGTTCCAGGCTGGTGGTGGTTCATGGTGCTGGATACTCCTGCCTGTGTATCAGTGGTTCACCCTGGTACACCCTGGTGTATGGTGTGGTGGATCCATCCTGCCTTGTATCAATGGTTCAGGCTGGTATGTCAATGGTGTGGGGATACATCCTGCCTGTATACTCATATCCGCCCTGTACAGGCTGGTTGGTGTAACCAATGTGAAAGCATGGATCCATCCTGCCTTGTATCAATGGTTCAGGCTGGTGATGGTGGTGTCATGGTGTGGGGATCCATCCTGCCTTGTATCACCGGTTCAGGCTGGTGGTGGTGGTGTCATGGTGTGGTGGATCCATCCTGCCTTGTATCAATGGTTCAGGCTGGTGTGGGGGTGATGGTGGTCGGTGGTGTCATGGTGGTGGGGTCATGATCCATCCTGCCTTGTATCACTGGTTCAAGCTGGTGGTGGTGGTGTTATGGATCCATCCTTGTTCATATCAACAGTTCAGGCTGGTGGTGGTGGTGGTGTCATGGTGTGGTGGGGATCCATCCTGCCTTGTATCAACGGTTCAGGCTGGTGGTGGTGGGTGTGTCATGGTGTGGGAGATCCATCCTGCCTTGTATTACTGGTTCAGGCTGGTGGTGGTGTCATGGTGTGGTGGATCCTGCCTGTCAAGGTGTGGGGGATCCAACCTGCCTTGTATTACTGGTTCAGGCTGGTAGTGGTGGTGTTATGGATCCATCCTTGTTCATATCAACAGTTCAGGCTGGTGGTGTCATGGTGTGGTGGATCCATCCTGCCTTGTATCAACAATACAGATCCCTTGCTGGTCTGGAAAGTGTCAGTCATGTCCATCCTTTCCCTCATACACATTGCATTCCTGCAGTCTTTCCTGATCTGATCTCTTAGATCTCTCACTATCTTTGTTGCCTGTCTCTGGATCTCATCAACATCTTTCTGTAGGTAAGGTCTCTCCAGAACTTCCTTACCTGTGTGGAGACCCTCGTCTTCTTCCCATACAGACTGTCAGAGCCTGGGTTTGAACCTGGGTCTTCCACGGTGAGAGGTAATGTTTCTTCTCGCTGAGCCACCTGGAATGTTGGACAACTTCCTTGACAATTAGTTGGGTGATCCTACCTTGACCTTGTTTATCTTGGACCTTGAACCCCTTTGCTCCTCCCATGAACTTCCTGATAAAAGCCATGTCTCTGCATTTCCTATTTGCCAGGTTATTGTGTGTTCTCCAGCCAATATCCCGCTTGTCTCTCCAGCTGCCATCTATACCTTCACTACCGACCTTTGGCTTGTTCCTGGACTACGATTCTGCCTCTCATCCTCATCTACCATTTGTGACCCACCCTTGGCTTGTGACTGACTCCGCTTCTGCTTGATCCCTAACCTGTTGGATCCGCTAGCGGTTACCTGCTTGCTCATTCCCCTGGTGGGGTGATCCTGAGATCTGCGACCTGGTACCAACACGCAGCCAAATCCATCTCCACCATTAGGAGCTCTGGGAATAACTGGTTAATGCTTAGACCCCGCACCTCAGGTGAGCCTCCGTCATTCCCAGGGTGACCCGCCTGTGTACCTATCCTGCTGGTTTCAGGAAAGCCTTACACTGCTATAGCAACTGGTCTCTGAACCTGACCCAGACCGTGACACAGACCCCCCCCTCCCCCCCATAGAATCCTTCTCATTTTTTTCCATCAGATCCAATCTAATAAACACTTTCTCCAACTTCTGCCATTTCCTGCCTCCGCTCTTCCCACCACCGATCCATTGTGAGGACAACTCAACTCTTCTCAATACGGAAACCAATCCCAATATAATGAATAGGGGAGGATTTAGGAAGGGGCTGGGGGGAGGGGACGAGTCATGTATAGGGAACTGCAATCAGCACGGTGAAGCAGACGGAGGGCGGGGGGTCCCACATTGTACAACGTCTTTGCTGTAGTGAGGGATCGGGCTGCGGGGCGGTTATGAGGACTCTGCTGATCTTGGGGGGTCTCGTTGTCGCTGTGCTGCTGGTGACCCCATCTAACGGTGAGCGGAGGGTGTCCCAGGATGGAGGAGAGGTGAGTTCCCGGGGGGATTGTACGGTGTGAGGGCTCTACACATCCAGGAACATTCCGTCCATCAGAAGACCTTCTATAGACACAGCTGTCCAACCAACATGTCCATACACATCAATTCCTACATATCACCGAGCAATGTCTGCAGATGTATACCGAGGACCATGTATGGATACGTATCTGTCCCGTATATATACGATGTCCGCAGACGTTATACCGAGGACGATGTATGGATACGTATCTGTCCTGTATATATATACCATGTCTGCAGACGTATATACCGAGGACCATGTATGGATACGTATCTGTCCCGTATATATATACCATGTCTGCAGACGTATACCGAGGACCATGTATGGATACGTATCTGTCCCGTATATATGATGTCTGCAGACGTATACCGAGGACGATGTATGGATACTATCTGTCCCGTATATATATACCATGTCTGCAGACGTATACCGAGGACGATGTATGGATACGTATCTGTCCCATATATATACATGTCCGCAGAAGGTATAACCGAGGACGATGTATGGATACGTATCTGTCCGTATATAATACGATGTCCGCAGACGTATACCGAGGACGATGTATGGATACGTATCCGTCCCGTATATATACGATGTCTGCAGAGGTATACCGAGGACGATGTATGGATACGTATCTGTCCCGTATATATACACGATGTCCGCAGACGTATACCGAGAGGACAATGTATGGATACGTATCTGTCCCGTATATATACCATGTCTGCAGACGTATACCGAGGACGATGTATGGATACGTATCTGTCCCGTATATATACCATGTCTGCCAGACGTATACCGAGGACCATGTATGGATACGTATCTGTCCCGTATATATACCATTCTGCAGACGTATACCGAGGACGATGTATGGATACGTATCTGTCCCGTATATATACCATGTCTGCAGACGTATATACCGAGGACGATGTATGGATACGTATCCGTCCCCGTATATATACCCTGCAGACGTATATATACGTATCCGTCCCGCATATATAGATATGCAGACGTATACCGAGGACGATGTATGGATACGTATCTGTCCCTGTATATATATACGAATGTCCTGCAGACGTATACCGAGGACGATGTATGGATACGTATCTGTCCCGTATATATATACGATGTCTGCAGACGTATACCGAGGACGATGTATGGATACGTATCTGTCCCGTATATATACGATGTCTGCAGACGTATACCCAGGACGATGTATGGATACGTATCTGTCCCGTATATATACGATGTCTGCAGACGTATACCGAGGACGATGTATGGATACGTATCTGTCCCGTATATATACCATGTCTGCAGACGTATACCGAGGACGATGTATGGATACGTATCTGTCCCGTATATATACGATGTCTGCAGACGTATACCGAGGACGATGTAATGGATACGTATCTGTCCCGTATATATACCATGTCTGCAGCGATGTAAGGATACTTGCTATCCGTCCCGTATATATACCTGCAGACGTACCCGAGGACGTGTATGGATACGTATCTGTCCCGTATATATACGATGTCCTGCAGACTATACCGAGGACGATGTATGGATACGTATCAAGTCTGTCCCGTATATATACCATGTCTGAGACGTATACCGAGGACGATGTATGGATACGTATCCGTCCCGTATATATACGATGTCTGCAGACGTATACCGAGGACGATGTATGGATACGTATCTGTCCCGTATATATACGATGTCTGCAGACGTATATACCGAGGACGATGTATGGATACGTATCTGTCCTGTCCCGTATATATAATACCATGTCTGCAGATCTCTATAGAGGTTAGTAAAGGAATAGTCAACACCATGTTCTCTTCCTCTCATAATTGGACAGAGTACAGTTACAAAACAATCCAACACTCCAGGATGAGGATGACTCTGCTCTCCCAATTCCAGAAAATGTGTTGGGGACACACAATAGTTCTCCCCTCCCCCCACTGAGGCTTTTCAGGATTTTACATTCAAAACTAACCAAATAAGTGAAACTCTACATTCCCCCCCCCCCCCTCCCCCCATCGGTCCCACATACCCCCTATAATACCCTTTATACCAGGAGACTCATTGTTTTGTCTGCAGTATGAGATCTATGGGGACAAGTCGCAACAGGTTATCATTTCCTTCCTGAGAAAGAAACTATTCTTATATTTTATTTTACTCTTTAATGTGCAGAAATGCTGACACCTCTGTGGTTCTAACATGTTCTGTAGCGCTGTACAGAGATCACTAAGCCAGTCACATCAGTCTCTGTACCAGAGGAGCTGACACTCTAATGTCCCCCCCCCCCCCAGTCCCATCAGTCTCTGTACCAGAGGAGCTTACACTCTAATGTCCCCTCCCCCACAGTCCCATCAGTCTCTGTACCAGAGGAGCTTACACTCTAATGTCCCCTCCCCCCACAGTCCCATCAGTCTCTGTACCAGAGGAGCTTACACTCTAATGTCCCCCCCCCCCACAGTCCCATCAGTCTCTGTACCAGAGGAGCTTACACTCTAATGTCCCCTCTCCCACAGTCCCATCAGTCTCTGTACCGGAGGAGCTTACACTCTAATGTCCCCTCCCCCACAGTCCCATCAGTCTCTGTACAGAGGAGCTTACACTCTAATGTCCCCTCCCCCACAGTCCCATCAGTCTCTGCACCAGAGGAGCTGACACTCTAATGTCCCCTCCCCCACAGTCACACACTATTTATTATTACACATGTGTATAGCTCTGACATATACCACGGCACTGTAGTAAATGTCATTCTTTGCCCCCCAATAATATCCGCCTGACAACCAGAATAAAATACAGTAGCCAATTGCCCTCCAGAAGATTTACTCCCCCCTCCCCCCCCCCCTTCCCTCTTGATAAGTCCTTTTTTTTTTTTTTTGTTCAGCAATGCGCTACTTTGACTGGTAAGTGCGTGGACATGGAACTCTACCCAAACAAAATTTACATCCTTTTTTTCCCCACAAATAGAGCTTTCTTCTGGTGGTATTTGATCACCCCTGCTCACACATGCCATGGGTATATATTGGAATAACACCCCAAAACACATTCTGCCATGTCTCCCGAGTATGGGGGTACCACATGTAGACTTTTTGGCAGCCTATCCACATACAGGACCCCAAAATCCAGTGACCTCCTCCAGGCTTTCAAAGGGCATTTTTCCTGTATCACTTCCCCAATACCTATCAGTTTTGGAGGCTCTGAAATGCCAGGATACCCACATGGAGGAAAAACATACCGGCACTTCTACCCCCTTCCTGCCTACCGGGCGCTTCTACCCCCTTCCTGCCTGCCGGGCGCTTCTACCCCCTTCCTGCCTGCCGGGCGCTTCTACCCCCTTCCTGCCTACCGGGCGCTTCTACCCCCTTCCTGCCTGCCGGGCGCTTCTACCCCCTTCCTGCCTACAGGACACTTCTACCCCCTTCCTGCCTACAGGGCACTTCTACCCCCTTCCTGCCTACCGGGCACTTCTACCCCCTTCCTGCCTACAGGATACTTCTACCCCCTTCCTGCCTACCGGGCACTTCTACCCCCTTCCTGCCTACAGGATACTTCTACCCCCTTCCTGCCTACAGGGCACTTCTACCCCCTTCCTGCCTACCGGGCACTTCTACCCCCTTCCTGCCTACCGGGCACTTCTACCCCCTTCCTGCCTACAGGGCACTTCTACCCCCTTCCTGCCTACCGGGCACTTCTACCCCCTTCCTGCCTACCGGGCACTTCTACCCCCTTCCTGCCTACAGGACACTTCTACCCCCTTCCTGCCTACAGGACACTTCTACCCCCTTCCTGCCTACAGGACACTTCTACCCCCTTCCTGCCCACCGGGCACTTCTACCCCCTTCCTGCCTACCGGGCACTTCTACCCCCTTCCTGCCTACAGGACACTTTTTCCCCAGCGCTTCCTGCCTTTGACAGGGCGCTTCTACCCCCTTCCTGCCTACAGGGCGCTTCTACCCCCTTCCTGCCCACAGACACTTTTACCCCCCTTCCTGCCTACCGGGCGCTTCTACCCCCTTCCTGCCTACAGGGCGCTTCTACCCCCTTCCTGCCCACCAGACACTTTTACCCCCTTCCTGCCTACAGGGCGCTTCTACCCCCCTTCCTGCCTACAGGGCGCTTCTACCCCCTTCCTGCCCACCAGACACTTTTTCCCCCTTCCTGCCTACCGGGCGCTTCTACCCCCTTCTGCCTACAGGGGCGCTTCTACCCCCTTCCTGCCCACCAGACACTTTTACCCCCTTCCAGGCCTACTGAGGGCACTTCTACCCCCCTGGCCTGCAGGGCACTTCTACCCCCTTCCTGCCTACAGGGCACTTCTACCCCTTGCATCAGGGCACTTCTACCCCCTTCCTGCCTACAGGGCACTTCTACCCCCTTCCTGCCTACAGGGCACTTCTACCCCCTTCCTGCCTACAGGGCACTTCTACCCCCTTCCTGCCTACAGGGCACTTCTACCCCCTTCCTGACCAGGCAATTTCCAGCTTTCAGCGCTGTTGCACTTTGACAATTGCGCGGCGGTCATGCAACACTGTACCCATACGAAATTTTTAGCATTTTTTTTTGTGACAGAGCTTTATTTTGGTGGTATTTAATCACCTCAGAGTTTTTTTTTCTTAGTTTTTGTTATAAAATTTTGTAAATAAGTGCTTTTTCTCCTTCACTGATGTGCGCTAATGAGGCTGTAGTGATGGACACTGATGAGGAGGCACTGTTGGGCATTGACAGGGATCACTGATGGGCACTGATAGGTGGCACTGACTGGCACTGGGTGACACTGAAGGGCAGCTCAGATGGGCACTGATATGTGGCACTGTTCAGCACTGACAGCAGGCACTTCTGGGGCCACACTGATCATCAGGGCACACTGATCATCAGTGCCCTGATGATCAGTGTACATGTCCCCTCTGCGGAATGCTGATTACCGGCTCTCCGCTCCTCTCCTCTGTCAGCGTGACAGCTCGTGGGGAGAGAAATGCCAATAACCGGCATTTCCCACTGTTTACATGTGATCAGCTGTGACTGGACACAGCTGATCACATGACCGAGCTGACATCTTTGGCTCTTTCCGTGGATCGGTGATCCGCTGTGTCTGAGGGACACAGTGCACCGCCGATCGCCGCGCTCCCCGGGGCCGCGCATGCGTGGTGAGAATGGAAGGACATCAAAAGACAGCCTATCAGAATGAGAGAACCACCTTGCGTCCGTCATTGGACTATATGGCGGGCGGGAGGCGGCTAAAAACATTCTTCCCAAATATATTGCCATATCCTCCACTCACTCTGATGGACGCCGTCCTCCCACTCACTCTGATGGACGCCGTCCTCCCACTCACTCTGATGGACGCCGTCCTCCCACTCACTCTGATGGACGCCGTCCTCCCCCACTCACTCTGATGGACGCCGTCCTCCCACTCACTCTGATGGACGCCGTCCTCCCCACTCACTCTGATGGACGCCGTCCTCCCACTCACTCTGATGGACACAGTCCTCCATGGTCCTCCACTCACTCTGATGGACACAGTCCTCCATGGTCCTCCACTCACTCTGATGGACACGGTCCTCCCACTCACTCTGATGGACACGGTCCTCCATGGTCCTCCACTCACTCTGATGGACACAGTCCTCCCCCCACTCACTCTGATGGACACAGTCCTCCATGGTCCTCCACTCACTCTGATGGACACGGTCCTCCCACTCACTCTGATGGACACAGTCCTCCATGGTCCCCCACTCACTCTGATGGGAATACATTAGACCTTGTTTTCTCCCATCTTTGCACTCCCTACAACCTCACAAACACCCCCTTTCCTCTCTCTGATCACAATCTCATCACCATCACCTTCACAGTCTCCTCGTCTTCAAACACCTATCCCTCCAAGCAGCAAACAATTACCTGCAGAAACCTTCACAACTTGAACCCGGCTCCTTTCCACTCTGCAACTGACCAACTCTATGACAGAATCTCTCCCCTTTCCTGACCTGGCCACTGCTGTCTACAACAGTTCACTGTCATCCACATTAGACTCACTTGTTCCTCTAACAACACGAAGCATCAGGCCCCGACCAATACAACCGTGGCAGACTGACCACACCAGACATCTTAAACGACATAGTCGTGCGATGGAGCGATTGTGGCATAAAACCAAATCCCAGCAAGCATTCATCCAATACAAATCTGCTTTCTTAACATACAATTCCTCCCTCCATGCTGCCAAACAAGACGACTTTGTCACTCTCATCAATACCTTGTCATCCAGTCCTCGTCGTCTCTTCTCTACTTTTAACTCTTTACTTTCTTTCTCACACCACCTCCACCCAGCACCTCACTCACCACTCACGAGATTGCAAATCATTTCAAAAGCAAGACTGACGCAATCCGTAGGGACATCACCACTGCACAGACATCCATCCCACTTAGCATACCTATACTAAACCTCCCTCAACACTTTCTTCTTCTGACTTTCTACTACCGAAGAGGTCACTAAGGTTTTCTTAGAATCCCATCTCACTACCTGCCCCCTGGATCCTGTCCCTTCACAACTACTACGGTCTCCCTCTTCTTCCATCCTACGCTCCCTCACTCACATCTTCAATCTCTCCCTCTCTACTGGTGCCTTCCCCTCCTCTCTAAAGCATGCACACATCACTCCCATACTTAACAAGCCCTCCCTGGACCCCACCAACCTGAACTTCTTAAGACCCATCTCCCTGCTACCTTTTCCTCTAAACTCCTAGAACGCTTAGTCTACAATCACCGGAGCTCCTCCCTCAACAACCTTCTTCACCCTTCACAGTCTGGCTTTCACTCACTCCACTCCACTGAAACTGCCCTACTAAACCTCACTAATGATCTACTAACTGCTATAACCAATGGCCACCGCTCCGTACTCATCCCAACCAATGGCCACCGCTCCGTACTCATCCCAACCAATGGCCACCGCTCCGTACTCATCCCAACCAATGGCCACCGCTCCGTACTCATCCCAACCAATGGCCACCGCTCCGTACTCATCCCAACCAATGGCCACCGCTCCGTACTCATCCCAACCAATGGCCACCGCTCCGTACTCATCCCAACCAATGGCCACCGCTCCTTACTCACCCCAACCAATGGCCACCACTCCTTACTCACCCCAACCAATGGCCACTACTCCTTACTCACCCCAACCAATGGCCACTACTCCTTACTCACCCCAACCAATGGCCACTACTTTATGCCGACAACACGCAAATCTATCTTTCTACCCCTCACCTCACCCCTTCAGTCTCCTCCTCCTCACCCCTCACCCCCTTCAGTCAGTCTCTCTCGCATTAATAACCTACTAAGTGACATATCAGCATGGATGTCACTCCACTTCCTCAAACTCAATCTTTCCAAAACTGAGCTCCTAGTATTCCCCCCAGCCCGCGCCCCCTCCACTGACTTCATCAAGATCAATAACACAATCATCAGTCCCTCCCCCCATGCCAGGGTACTAGATGTAATCCTAGACTCCCATTTGTCCTTTCAGCCCCAGATCCAATCACTGTCCAAATCTTGTAGACTTCACCTCCGCAACATCTCCAAGACACACCCGTTCCTAACCTCGGAAACCACTAAGCAACTTATTCACTCCCTTGTTATCTCTCACCTTGACTATTGTAACTCCCTCCTCATTGACCGACCTCATCGCAGGCTATCCCCTCTTTCAGTCTATCATGAATACTGCTGCCAGACTCATCCACCTTACTAACCGTTCCATATATGCCATCCCTCCACTGGCCTCCACTCGGTGTCCTCCACCCCTCTCTGCCAATCCCTCCACTGGCCTCCACTCAGTGTCCTCCACCCCCCTCTGCCAATCCCTCCACTGGCCTCCACTCGGTGTCCTCCACCCCCCTCTGCCAATCCCTCCACTGGCCTCCACTCGGTGTCCTCCACCCCTCTCTGCCAATCCCTCCACTGGCCTCCACTCAGTGTCCTCCACCCCCCTCTGCCAATCCCTCCACTGGCCTCCACTCGGTGTCCTCCACCCCTCTCTGCCAATCCCTCCACTGTGTCCTCCACTCAGCCGATCCCCCCCACTGTCCTCCACCCCTCTCTGCCAATCCCTCCACTGGCCTCCACTCAGTGTCCTCCATCCCTCTCTGCCAATCCCTCCACTGGCTTCCTATTGCCCAACGAATAAAATTCAAAACATTACCAATAACATATAAAACAATTTATAACACTGCCCAAAATTACATCACCGATCTTGTCTCTAAATATTACCCAAATCATACTCTCCGCTCCTCGCAAGACCTCCTACTCTCTAGCTCCCTTGTCTCCTTCTCCCATGCTCGTCTCCAGGACTTCTCCAGGGCTTCCCCCATCCTCTGGCACTCTCTACCCCAATTTATCAGACTGTCGCCTACTCTGCTCACTTTTAGGCGATCTCTGAAAACCGATCTCTGCAGGGAAGCCTATCCTGCCCTCAGCTAATAATGGAATCTTCCCAGGAGGGAGGTGCCCTGGGGGTAGATATTTCCCAGGAGGGAGGTGCCCTGGGGGTAGATCATTCTCAAAAGACTTGGTGCCTTTGGCGAAGATCTTTGTCTGATGACTTAATGACTTGGGGGTAGATCCTTTTTGGGAGGCTTGGTACCTTGGGGGGAGGGTAGACCTTTCTGATGAAGCTTGGTGCCTTGGGGTAGATCTTTCCTAGAGGGGGGTACCCTGGGGATAGATCATTCTCAGGAGACTTGGTGCCTTTGGGGTAGATCTTTGTCAGATGGCTTAATGGCTAGGGGGTAGATCCTTTTTAGGAGGCTTGGTAACCTGGGGGTAGACCTTTTTCACAAAGCTTGGAGCTGTGGGTTAGTCATTTGTCAGGAGGCTTGGTGACTTGGGGTAGATCTTTTTAGGGAGACTTGGTTCCTTGGAGATAGCCATTTCTCTGGAGGCTTGGTGCCCTGGGGGTTTAACTTTCTCAGGGAACTTTATGCCTTAGAGGTAGATCTTTCTAAGGAGGCTTGGTGCCTTGGGGTATATCTTTCTCAGGAGGCTTGGTTACTAGGGGTAGATCACTTTTGGGAGGTTTGGTGCCTTGGAGGTAGTTTTTGCTCTGGAGGATTTGTGCTCTGGAGGTATAACTTTCTCAGGGGGCTTGATGCCTTGGTGGTGTATCTTTCTAAGGAGGCTTATTGCCTTGGGGTAGATCTTTTTTGAGGCTTGGTGCCTTGAAGGTTGCCATTTCTCTGGATGCTGTGTGCCTTGGGGGTATAACTTTCTTAGGGGGCTTGTTGTTTTCCTGGCAGATCTTTCTAAGGAGGCTTGGTGCCCTGTGGATAGATCATTCTCTGTATTGTCTCTCACCAGCTTTGATTAGGTTATCTTTATGCTTCCCGGTAACTCAGCACTTGTTTCTGCCCTCGTGGGACTGTCTACAACATGCTGTAATCTCTTATATAAAATGGTGTCCAATTCCTGAAACCACTTCCATATAAACTCTGCTCAGTAGATGGTTCTTCCTGGATTAGAACAAATATTGAACTCATGGGGTGGATCTTATTGTCTTTTTCAGAAAGGAACCTCCAATCTGAGAGAGTTCATTGGCCAAAATGAAGATGGAAGAGCTAATGGGTTTGATGTGGATTCTTCCTTGGTCCATCTGCAGTCCAAGAGAGTAAGTAATGGTCTATTTCCTTTATAGTCCTTAAAATGTTTTACAAAACAACTAAAAGAGTTCTCATCGTGCTGCAAAATTAGAATTGTGTTGGTTACATGTCTCCAGTTCTATGGGTTTTTTAACATTGTTTTCCCTTGAAATGTTCCTGGTTCTCAACATGAACCAGCTGTACAATAGTGTTCCTCTTTCTCTAAACACTGGGGTGATCTACTCAACTTTGAACTTAGACATAAAGATTCTGGTGAAAATCCTAGTTACTAGACTTAATCTTTATCTAGGTCATCACATCCGTAAAGGACCAGGTTGGCTTTGTGTCATTGAAAGGAGGGAGTGATAATGTACGCTGGGCAAGGCAGCTTATCCACCTCACCAGTACTTGGTTGGTGGCATCTATGCTACTTTCTCTCAATGTGTGTAAACCAGTTGACACCCTTTCTTGGAAATACAGGCTCTTTGTTCTTCGTAAATGGGACCTTGGAGAACATGGTATGCTCCACGATCAAGGCCCTATATCCTCAGCTGACAGCCACAATAAAATATGCTGGATACACCTCTGACTCCCTTCTAATAAGCTGAGGCACCAGACAGGGTGTCAGGTACTGTCCACGGCAGGCGTTCTGGAAGATCTGGCATTTCTGCCAATACTCTGCATGGCCACAGAAGTACACATTAGCCTCAGTCTGGTGCCAGATGGCCTTTATAAGGAGGTTCATCACTTCCCCTGGTTGCTGGATGATCTCTAGCTCCCCGTGCCCTGTTCCTGGTTCCTGATCCTGTGGTTCTGACTTGTGATTTCCTGTTACCGACTTGGCTTGCTCCTGGACCTGTCTACTCCTGATTTACCCCTGACCTGACCTCGGCTTGGCTTACAGATGCTCTCTCGCGCTCTCTCTCGCTCGCTCCTTTGTGAATGACCTTGGCTATCCCATCTGACTACATCTACTCTGATTCCCACCTTGGCTTGAACCGACTACCCAGTAAACATCCAAATCCCGGAAGGGCTTGCATACCATGTACAGGCGCCTCCTGTCTGCAGACCAGCGGTGCTTTTGAGTGGACCGCCAACCAGTACTCCTACAGGCGACCTGTGCAACTTTGGGCCTGACTCCCGCTGTCCCACTCTCAGGGGAGTCCGGAACTTAGCCGCACGGGAAGCCCTCTCTCCATTGGCCTCCATCACCAGGTACATGATACAGGGTTGCTCTTTATCCCCAATATTATTTATCTTCGCCCTTGAACCTCTTGCTGCCACCATTTGGGAACACCCAGATACTTGGGGTCTAGAATTCACAGGTGTTCGTAGATGACATTCTTTTCCACCTCTCTACTCCACATACCACCTTGCCCAATATATTTACCACCCTCTTGGCTTTTGCTGCTATCTCAAATCTCCAAGTCAATGAAGCAACATCCAAAGCCTTACATTTGAATCTGAACTCCCGTGTTCTTCATCAGATTCAAGAAAACTATAACTTCACCTGGTCCACCTCCCTGCCGTATTTGGGTATTGATCTCACCTTTTCCTTTGTCTTGCTATACAAGGCTAATTATTCCCACTTTTTTTTTTGTTTTTTTGCAGAATTCCCTTCTTGCCTCCTGTATACATTGCTGCTGTCTTGGTTTGGTAGCATTCATGTACTAAACATGACTTTATTGCATAAACTTCTATATTTCAGCCCCCCAATTCTAATCCCCATTCATAGATTGTGCATTGAAGAAAGGAAAAGTCTGAATTTTTTTGACACCACCGTAGGCTGAGGCTAGAGGCTGCAGTATTGTCTCACCGCCGAATGGCAGGTGGCCTAGCAGTCCCATAATTAAAACCATATTTTACCAAAGCCCAAATTGCAGCACTGGCATCATTGAATATTTCTCATTAATGGCCTCTCTGGACCCACCTTACCATCGTAGAAGGCACTCCATCCCCAATATAACTTAATATGGTAGTGAGCTCTTATTGATCCTCAACTTGGGGTTCCTCAGGGAGCGGAGTCTAAGCCCCAGCCTGCTTCTTCACCAGAGCCCCTGATGGTGGGGATGGACTTGCAGCAAGCTGTGACCAGGTCGCGGCCCCAGGTACGCCCAGCTGAGGTTAATGAGACCGCTCGCGGGAACAGAGTAAAATGGGAGGAGACAAACGGAAATCCGATAGACTAGCTGAAGTCAGGACTGGCGGAAAACAAGCAAGGTCAGAGAACGAAGCCGGGGTCGGTTCACGAGTAGTCAGTGCAGGATACAGGCAATAGCACCATACAGGAGCTCCGACAACTAGGAAGCTGCTCAGGCAAAGTGGCCGAGTCTGAGCATGTCTTATATAGGCAGGCAAACAAGGAGGCGGGACAGGAAGTGATGGAAGGGAAGGTAATAAAACCCAGAGGACAGCAGATGACGCCCATAGGTGAGCACAGACAAACCACACATGTGAAAGGGATCAGGAACAGCACTGCAGCAAGGAGGTAAGAACACAAAACAGGCTAACTTGTGACAAATATGGCTTCCTCCTCAGCAAAGACCCCCCCCCCCATAAATACTTCCACTGTGCGACTTTCCTTAAGACAATGGCATCTGGTGAAATATTCTATCAATTTGATTTCAACTCATCTCCTTCTCTTGGGAATCCGTCATAATTCCTGTATGAGAACCTACAAGCCCCTCAGGGGTGGCAACTTAAAGGTGATAAATAGGTACAGCATATGATCCATTAACAACTAAGGGATCCCTTCAATATCTCAGAACATTGGAAATTGCATCAAAACGCTTACTGAGCAACGCACAGATCCCTCGATGCACTTAACTCCATTTGAGAATTGCCGCATAAAATATCCCCATTCTAGGGATCTTTCTGCTCTATGTACGGTCCTCCCTGATCCCAGAGGCTCATCAAAGCTCCAATGTATGGGCAAATGGGACAGGGACCTTGTGGAATTTCTAGACCACAGGGACCTTGTGGAATACCTAGACCATGCCGACTGGAGTATGGTGTAACGTAACCAACCCAGACTGCACCTGAGTACTTCCCTTAGACTTCCACTTCCCCATCCGAACACCGACCACAAACACCACAGCCGACCAACCAAGACTAGATGACACCAGTCTTGAAGTAAACCAGGAAATAGACCTGTTTATTTGAACACAGATACAAGATATTGTCTGGGTCAGGTTCAGAGACCAGTTACAGCAGTTGTAAGGCTTACCTGAAACCAGCAGGATTGGTACACCAGCGGGTCACCCTGGGAATGACGCAGGCTCACCTGAGGTGCGGGGTCTAAGCATCCACCGGTCTTCCCCAGAGCTCCTAATGGTGGAGATGGATTGGGCTGCGTGTGAATGCCAGGTCGCAGGTCTCAGGATCACCCCACTAGGGAATGAGTAGGCTGGAAACCAAAAGCGGATCCAACAGAAGCGGAGTCAGTCACAAGCCAAGGGTCGGTCACCAATGGTAGTAGATAGGATGAGGCAGAATCGTAGTCAGTAGCAAGCCAAAGGTCGGTAACGTAGATGAAGACGGCAGCAGGAACAGTAAGTGGGATATTGGCTGGGAAGGCACAATAATCTGGCAACCAGGAAGTGCAGAGACGTGGCTTTTATAGGAAGTTCATGGGAGGAGCAAGGAGTTCAAGGTTCAAGACAAAACAGGGCAAAGGCAGGATCATCCAAAGAATTGTCAAGGGAGCTGTCCAGCATTCCAGGTGGCTCAGTGAGAAGGAACACTGTCTCTCACCGCAGAAGGCCCAGGTTCGATTCCAGGCTCTGGCAGATATATACACTCAGGGGACAACCCCCCCCCCTTCCTGCATAATGACATAATGGGCGGGGCAATCTACATTTAATAACAAGAGACACACACAGGTATTTAAACTTCACACCAGCAGACAGTCCCATCAGGAGGGAGGGCTGCTGGAGACGCCCCCCACATGCAACCACATGACATTAAATAATCGACAACCCCCCCCACCCCACCGATCTCCTCCTAGACATGTCTACACAGTCAGGCAAAGCTCCCCCCCCCCTTCCTGCATAATGACATAATGGGCGGGGCAATCTACATTTAGTAACAAGAGACACACACAGGTATTTAAACTTCACACCAGCAGACAGTCCCATCAGGAGGGAGGGCTGCTGGAGACCCCGCCACATGCAACCACATGACATTAAATAATCAACAACCCCCCCACCCCCACCCCACCGATCTCCTAGACATGTCTACACAGTCAGGCAAAGCTCCCCCAATATTAGGACATTCCCCCTGTACCCCTAACAGGCACAGGGTGACTTACACATAAGAGGGATATGGGAAGCTGAGACAGGGGTCTCCCCGCCTCTCCAAAGTGAGCTGTGTTCCATGGGCCCCCTCCCCAAAGTGACTCCCCTTATATTTTTTATATATATGGGCAGAAGTTTCAGTATGAAGCCAGGAATATGGGAACATGACCCCGGACCAGGCAGAGGAAAGTTCAATATTAATTTATAGAAAGTACACTCCTCAAAAAAATGAAAGTTACACTTTGTAATCCGAGTCGCATGAAGTCAATGAACCTCCTGGGATATGGATCTGGTCAGGGAAGTCGTAAAGGGGGTTGTTCATCAGTTTCAGCTGCTTTGGTGTTCATGAAATTAACAGGGGCACTGGATGGGCAACAATGAGACGACCCCCAAAACACAAATGGTTTTACAGATGGAGGTCACTGACATTTTTTCCCTCCTCATCCTTTCTGTTTTTCACTAGTTTTGCATTTGGCTCGGGTCAGTGTCACTACTGGTAGCATGAGGCCATACCTGGACCCTACAGAGGTTGTACAGGCAGTCCAACTCCTTCAGGATGGCACATCAATACCTGCCATTGCCAGAAGGTTTGCTGTGTCTCCCAGCACAGTCTCAAGAGCATGGAGGAGATTCCAGGAGACAGGCAGTTCCTCTAGGAGGGCTGGACAGGGCCGTAGAAGGTCCTTAACCCATCAGCAGGACCGGTATCTGCTCCTTTGTACAAGGAGGAACAGGATGAGCCCTGCCAGAGCCCTACAAAATGACCTCCAGCAGGCCACTGGTGTGAATGTCTCTGACCAATCAGAAACAGACTTAATGAGGGTGGCCTGAGGGCCCGACATCCTCTAGTGGGCCCTGTGCTCACTGCCCGGCACCATAGAGCTGGCTTGGCATTGGCCATTGAACCCCAGAATTGGCAGGTCCACCACTGGCACCCTGTGCTTTTCACAGATGAGAGCAGGTTCCCCCTGAGCACATGTGACAGACGTGAAAGGGTCTGGAGAAGCCGTGGAGAACGTTCTGCTGCCTGTAACATGGTTCAGCATGACCGTTGTGGTGGTGGGTCAGTGATGGTCTGGGGAGGCATCTCCATGGAGGGACACACAGACCTCTACAGGCTAGACAATGGCACCCTGACTGCCATTAGGTATGGGGATGAAATACTTGGACCCATTGTCAGACCCTACGCTGGTGCAGGGGGTCCTGGGTTCCTCCTGGTGCAGTGGGTCCTGGGTTCCTCCTGG